TTAATATTATATCATAATTATAATTTATAATTTTATATAATATTATAATTACATCATTGTTATACTTTTGGATAATTTGCTATATCTTGAGATCAATGTTATACTGCGCGTGAAACGTACGTACCAGTTCAGGCCCGCGGACTTGTTCACAAGCAAGCTGCCCAAAAGTAAATAATATCTGCGCAGCGCAGATTTCGCATGAGAGGGTCTCGTCAACTTTTCAATTCATTTTGTATTTGGAATTTCGGATTCAACTCCGCGCCCGCCTAACTGAAATCACTTCAATTGCCATTCCCGCCACTCACCTTAGACACGGCAGAATGTTTTTTGAAACTCAGGTCATTAAGAAGCTCTAATTGGATTGACTGGTTTAATAAATAAGTCAAGAGTTTGCGCTCCAGCTGCTCGTATAGAAGGGGCTAAAAATCTAAACTTCAATACTCTTTTAATTGAAAAAATAAGTCTAAGATAATGATTGAATTCTGCCTACTTCTTTCTAAGCTGAATTCAAATCTATGGATTATGTCTTATTTGAGTCAAGCTCGGTCCTAAAGAAATGATAATCTGACACTGAGATGCCGACAATTATGGAGCACTGCAGTCTACAGAAACAAAGATGAGAGATAAGGGGCAGTATGCGTTGAACGTCACATATTACAGCTGCTTCAGCTGGGCTTGTTCAATAATGCTACAACCCAAGTTTGTACTTGGGTTCAGAGGCCATTACCAGTCCACTTTAGATGCATAAAGCCTGACAACCACAGATTACTTATACAGGAAAGAAGGAGAACACATAAAGCAGCAGTTAATGGGCAAAAAATCTAAGTAGCAATAAGTTCATTAGAATGGGAAGAATACAACCTCCAGGAATTCTACCCAGCACCGACTAAAAAGTAGGAAATCAGAGGGATGCATAAATGGGGAACAATTATAGATTATCATGCAACTTGGAAAGCCTCTCAACAACAATCTTAGTTCTTATGCACTCTAACATAACTTCGCACTTAAGCTAAGAGCATGTTTAGTGAAGCATACAAGTATTTCAATTTTTTGATACTATTCATGTTTTATAAATTAAAATTTTTCTCTTAAAAACTTATATTTTTTAATTTTTTTTAACATTAAAAATACTTTAACTAGTAAATTTTGAAAAATTTCAAATTTTTATTTTTTATAAATTTCTTTCTTACTCACTTTTTATTATTTTTAAAAACAATTTTAAAATTTTTCTTTCAATAAAAATTTAAACTTATAACTCATAAATAATACTAAAAAAATAAAAACTCCAAGAAACTCCACCAAACAAGCTTTAAGTATGTTAAGTTTTAGCATGTAAGCATATAGCTACTAGAATTTAGAACCTGGTGCAACTTGTTAGAGTTTTTGCATTTTTTATACTATTCACGAGTGATAAGTTTAAATTTTTATTGGAGAAAAAATTTAAAAATTACTTTTAGGAATAAAAAAAAGTAAGTAAAAAGTGAGAAAAAAAACTTATAAAAAACTCGAATCTAAAGTTTTTGATCTTTTACTGTTTATGGTCTTTTTAAGGTTAAAAAAATATTTTAAAAAGTAAATTTTTAAGAGAAAAATTTAAACTTATAAAATATGAATAGTATCAAAAAACTGAAGCACTTGTAAAGCTGCACAAAACGGACCCTTAAACGGGAAATGCAGCTTTTGCTTACATGGTGAGGGCGAGTGAAAAATGTGGACAGATGAAAATTGTGTCTCCAACTAAGCAGGCATTTCAAACTTTAAGTTGACATTATTAGCACCTATCAACATATTCAGAATCAAAGATCAGAGATATCTACCTCACTGGTAGAAGTTTTGTTATCTTTCTTAGATTCTGTCTCCAACTAAGCGAGCATTACAAACTTTAACTTGACATGATTAGCACCTATCAACATATACAGAATCAAAGATCAGAGATATCTACCACACTGGTAGTAGCTTTGTCATCTTTCTTTGATCCTTTCTTCCGCTTCCTCTCAGATTGCGGTTCTTTTGCTTTCAGCTCTTCACAGAAGGACCTCAATGTGGCAGCTAAATGTTCATTTCTATGTGCTGAAAAAAATTTGCAAGATTATATGTTTTAGGACATCCACACGGATATGACTGCTATTTAAACCTACAATGCAAGTATCATTAACATCAAAGGAATCACAGACACAATAGTTCTGACTGAGTCTGCCGAGAACTAAAGGGCCTAAAAAACTCACCAGAAAGAATGACATCTTCAGTGTTAACAGATTTACGGCCAGCATGCTGAGCAAATAGCTCAAGATCCTTTGCCAGATTCTCTGCATTTAAAACAAGCATGCCTTTTTTAGTTCAAGAAAACCTTGTGGTACAAAGAACAGAACAGTCAAATAAGACATGCAAATTCACCTTCCATTGTCTTGAACTTAACCTTTTGCAGTGAGATAGATTTATGTGTAAAGCAATATCATTAATGTTCCCAGGTCGGTGTGTTATTTTCTACTCATTAGGATGCTGAAAATATTGTACACAAACGTAGCAGTGCCAAACATGACACAGAATAGCAGTGCAACAGATGGAGCGCAAAATCAGACAAGGTGTCAACATGATCAACACTACTTGATCTTTTCTTTCACCAAGAAAATTAAATTGATAATGTGTGATAAAGTTTTTATCATTAAAACAGTACCAATGTAACATAAACCTTCTACACACTAGCAAAAGATTCCGAGAACATATCATTGAGCTTAAAGCCGAAGCAGCATCTTAAAATCATCACACCTCGGCTCTCAAGACCCCAGTATACCATGTAAATAATCTAGGCAAAAATAACTGCTAAATCCTAGAAGTTACGGTTCACCTGAACTCAAGCAAATATAACTTGTCCAACAGCACTCGAAATATTTACCTTCTCCTAAAAACTAAATTATGCCCATTGCCCAAATTATACAACCAACTGTGATAATTCCAGTTTCAAAGCCACAACAAGAGCCATAAAACTGAGTTAGAACCAAATGCAAAAGAAGCCTATAATCAGTTAACAATGCAGAACAGGGATGATATTAAAATTGTTAAAGATTTACAGCATGAATCATCTTCATAACAGAACACAAATTCTGCAACTAATCTTGAACTTTAAACGAATTCAATAAAATTGGGGAAAAAAAAGATAATCACAATAAAATCACAAACAGAGTTAATCAATGCATTTCACCTGTGTATTTGAACGCCAAATCGACAATACAGGCGACGATAGGTGCAGATATTTCCATGCCGTTTCTCTTCGCTGATTGAATCAATGAAAACACGAATCAACATCAAAATAGCTCAAACCACACATTGAAAAACAGCTAATAGAGAACAGCTTAACATTTTCATCAAATTCTTTAAAATTTTCGGATGAGCATATTAGAATGTTGAGTTTTGGAGAAATAGACCTTCTTCTTCAGCGATTGGGATGGCGGAGAGCCGGAATCGATCTTTCAGGACGTCGGTTACCGATTCCTCGTCTTCTTCTTCTCGCTCTACGTCGCTCTTTTCTCCATCGACTTCCATTGGCGTTGAAGCTAGGGTTTGTTCTGTTCGCAGGCTTTTTTGGGTAGTAGCTGAAACGCGCGGGAAGATGATGCTACACGCACCGTTTTTAAATTGTTATAAAAAAAGGACAATTTTTTTTATTTCAAAATAGATAATTTATCCATTACAGAGTATTATTACAGTTTAAATAGTATTAAATTATAAAATTAAAGGCTTTAAATAAAAAGGAAGTACAATATTAAAAATTTTTTTATTTAAGAGTTATTATTTTATTTTTTTTATAAGAACCCACTTACCTGTCATATGATTTAAATTTAAGTTTTTTTACTTTTAATAAAAAAAATTATTAAATTATTTAAATAATTAGTTATTATTTTATAATTTATTTTAATATAAACTGCAAAATAATTTCTTATTGTTTATTTATCTATTTGGTGGGTAAAATTGGAAATACCTTAGAAGAAAGTCCGCAATCTTTTAAGTTTATAACACTTGGATCAATGAACTTCAAAAGTTTACAATTTGATAATTCAACTAAGAGCATGTGTAATGGTGTTCTCTTCCATTGTTCTTTTCTCAGAAGAGAATAGAGACAGGACCATTCCCAACGGGAGGTGAGTTTTTTAACGAGAGATTGTTCTCTTCTCTTTTAATTTTTTTAATCATCAAAAGTGTTGAAATAGTGAAATGGATTACAGCGCTTGACATGATGTTAGGCACCACAATCATACCTTTCAAGCCATTAAATCAAACATTCAGCATTTTTTTAAAAATTTTTAATTCAAATTTGCTTTATTTAAATATAACAAATATAAATTAAATAGAATAATATTGCTATTACTTTTAAAAAAGTTCCATGCACTAGATTAGAGATGTATTTTTTTTTTAAACAAATTTGTAAGGTATCAGATTCGAACCGTTGCCCTGAGAATGAGAAAATACATTTATACGTGACCTGATACTACTAAGTCCGAAGACCCGAGTGCAGATTAGAGATGTATTAGTAGCTTTTTTATTTGAAAATTAAATATATAAAAGTATGATTTTATATAAAATAATATATATTAGGATGATGTAGTGCCAAAGTGAACCTTTTTCATTGTTCTTTATTATACATTAATAAACTCAAAAAATGTTTCTTTTATCTAGCTGTTTGAATTACTTACTCAAATGTAATTAATAATTGATATTTTATAGTTAATAATCATTATTATTTTTACACATTATATTAATACAAAATCTTAATTATTCATCTCTTCACTTTTGATTGTTGAGATTTATTATTGTTTTTTAAATGAAAATAATAATTATTTTTAATAAATATGAATAATTGAGATTTTATGTAAATATAATATATAAAATTTATGGATAAATTTAAAGCTCTTTTTTTATGGCATAAATGTGATGTTTTGTTATATAATTGAATATTACTTTCATGTAGGATCTAGGATTCATCTCCCTTCCATCACCTCTTGAATTTGTAGTAATGACAATGCTACCATATAAAAGACCATTTAATTTTTTTTTTCCCATCAACAAGGGCCATGCAATTTGTGGAAATTTAATCTGTCATTGTCTTGAACTTAACCTTTTGCAGTGAGATAGATTTATGTGTAAAGCAATATCATTAATGTTCCCAGGTCGGTGTGTTATTTTCTACTCATT